TTCTTGATGGTGTTGTTTGAGACACAAACATTTTTAATTTCAATACTGTCTAATTTACCTGGGTTTTTTTCCCTTTTTTTTTTTTTGCTTGTGCTTTTGTTGTCATATATAATTATCTAATCTGAGGTCATGAAGATTTATGCTTATGTTTTCTTCTAAGAGTTCTATGGTTTAACTCCTGTGTTTAGGTCTTTGATCTGTTATGAGTTAATTTTTGCCTATGGTGTGAGGTAGAGTTCTAACTTCATTCTTTGAATGTGAATATCCAGTAGTCCCAGCATGATTTGTTGAAAAGATTATTCTTTTCCCATTGAATTATCTTGGCATCCTTGTCAAAAATCAGTTGACCATAGATGTGAGTGTTTATTTTTGGGCTCTCAATTCTATTCCATTTATCTATATATCTATCTTTATGCCAGTCCATATTGTCTTGGTAGCTTTGTGCTAAGTTTTGAAATTGGGAAGTCCTCCAACTTTGTTCTTCTTTTCCAAAAGTGTTTTGGCTAATCTGAGCCTCTTGAATTTCCACACGAATTTTAGAATCTGACAGTTTCTTGCCAGTTTCTGAAAAGGCAACTGGGATTTTGATAAGCATTCAGCTGAAACTATAGGTCAGTTTGGAGACTATTGCCATCTTAACAACATTCAGTCTTCTAATCCATGAACATTGGGGTGTTTTTTCAACTTTTTCGGCTTTTAATTTCTTTCAACAATATATCGTAGTTTTCATGTACAAGTCTTACACATTCTTGGCTTAAATTTATTCCTAAAAATTTTATTCTTTTTGATGGTATTGTAAAGAGACAGTTTCTCAATTTAATTTTCAGATTTTTCATTGGTTTTTGTATTTTGACTGGGTATCTTACAACTCTGCTGAATTTACTAATTCTCCTCGCTTTAGTAGATAATTTTTTATGTGTTTACAAGTCACCCTTAAAAGTATTGTTTAGTTTTTGGCAATGAAGCTAAGTAACACTTTAGTACTGCCTCTCCCTCCCTCTATTCCTTTTTCCTCCTCTGACCTTCCCATATGCCCCAAAAGATAGATAGATAGATAGACAGATAGATAGATATGGATTCTCTTTCCTTTGTTGGAATGGAAACCAATCAGTAAGCTCTTAGATGGTAATTTGTTGAGAATGTTTTATGTATTTTCAAAAGTGAGTAAATATGAGGCTGATAGGTGGATGAAAGATGCTCAGTTTTTATTTTGCTGAAAATTAAAGAAATGTAAAATTAAACAAATACAAGGAGCCACCCGTCTGTTTAAAAGAACACAAATTAAAATGAGAAAAACCAACATTGGCAGAGTTATGAAGAGACAGTCATGTCCATATATTGTTAGTGATGCTGTAGGTTAGTTCAACCATTTGTATGTTAGGAACCATAAAAATGAACTTATTCACCTAGTTCTATGCCAAAGATATGTCTCAAAAATTAAAAACTATTTGTATGAATTCTTATTAGCTGTGCTATAATAGATTTTAACAAAGAAAGCATAAGCCTCAAATCCAACGATTAGGAGCTAGTGAAGCAAACTATTATATCAATATAATGATGGACCATTATGTTGCAACTAAACATTATTAGTGTGTGTACTGTACAGATTCAAGGAAGAGTAGATATGAAATAAGTGGGAAAACCCTTAAAATAATGAGAATATTGATAACAAAAAATAGGTTAGGTAAGAAATTTAAAAAATTGTTAAGATTATACAAATAGCTGATATTTCAGTACAATTATGGTTGAATGTATACTTGAAGAAAAAAATATTTTTCCACCAAACAAAAAGTTTCTTACTTTGTAGTGGTTCACCCTTTTGGGTCTAAATACATTAGGAAAATTTTAACTTTGTGTTGATGGGCCACACATAATATATAAACTTTTTCTCTTTGTCCTTAAGAACCTGAAGGACAAGCTTGTCCTGAATTTTCACATATCATGCCCCTCATGTTAACAGTTAGCAGGTGCTATTAAAATCTCCCACAGGGCAGGAATCACAATTGCACAAGAGATTTGGAAACCAGGTTTCATCAAAGGGAGCCCAGGGCAAGGTGGTATGGCCTTGGAGGCCAACACTCAGTGGGGACAGCTAGAGAGCAAGGGAAGGCACCCTTGGTTGCAGAAAGAGCCCCAGAAGGAACTCCAGGAGGGACTACACCCACCCTCTATTGTGCTTAGATCCCTACTTCACAGCTCTGAGAAAGGCCTTCTGCTTGCACTTTCCTAGGGATGGGGAACACGTTGTCTCCCAGAGCCGTCTGTTCCATTAGATAACTCCTTTTGATAAAGATTTTTCCTTATGTCTAGCCAAAAACCTGCCTCCCTCTGCTTTCCATCTACTGATCCTATTTCTGACTCATCTGTGCCATCTCACAGGACAAGTCTTATCCATAGGACAGCTTTTTTTTTTTCTTTTCAGTGTTTCAGAATTCATTGTTTATGCGCCACACCCAGTGCTCCATGCAATACGTGCCCTCCATAATACCCACCACCAGGGTCCCCCAACCTCCCATCCCCCTCCCCTCCAAAACCCTCAGTTTGTTTCTCAGAGTCCACAGTCTCTCATGGTTCATCTCCCCCTCCGATTTCCCCCAACTATCCTCTCCATCTCCCCAGGTCCTCCATGTTATTCCTTATGCTCCACAAGTAAGTAAAACCATATGATAATTGACTTTCTCTGCTTGACTTATTTCACTCAGCATAATCTCTTCCAGTCCCTCCCATGTTGATACAAAAGTTGGGTATTCATGCTTTCTGATGGAGGCATAATACTCCTAGTATATATGGACTGTGTCTTTATCCATTTGTCCGTTGAAGGGCATCTTGATTCTTTCCACAGTTTGGTGACCGTGGCCATTGCTGCTATGAACATTGCGGTACAAATGGCCTTTCTTTTCACTATATCTGTATCTTTGGGGTAAATACCCAATAGTGCAATTGCACGGTCATAGGGAAGCTCTATTTTTAATTTCTTAAGGAATCTCCACACTGTTTTCCAAAGTGGCTGCACCAACTTGCATTCCCACCAACAGTGCATAGGACAGCTTTTATTTTATTTTATTTTTAAAAGATTTTATTTATTATTTGACAGAGAGAGATCACAAGTAGGCAGAGAGGCAGGCAGAGAGAGAGAGAGGGAAGAAGGCTCTCCACTGAGCAAAGAGCCCGATGCAGGGCTTGATCCCAGGACCCTGAGATCATGACCGGAGCTCAAGGCAGAGGCTTAACCCACTGAGCCATCCAGGAGGCCCATAGGACAGCTTTTAAAAGCATTTTTTATACCTGCCAAGTTGCCAGCTCTCCAGGTTGGACCTTCTCAATGCTTCTTGTCATCTCTCCTCAGACTGGTGCTGAGCCCTGGCTATGCCACAGTTTATTATTCCCTTAATAGTATGCTGCCTGGAACAGAATATAATGCCCAGCAAAACAAATGGTGCTGTCATTTACCTGCCCTTCTCATCCTTGTGCAACCTAGAATTAGCTGATTTGGCATCTGTTATTAAATCATTGACTTCTGTCGAGCTTATCATCAGCTAAAACTCATAAGTACTGTTATTTTTTTCTTTTTAACATTCATACGGTTGCCAAGCCACATCTGCCACATCCTGCAATTGTTTCTCATACTTTGGATCTATAGATTTTAGCTTCTATTTGAGCAGTTTCTTAGCAATATTCTGCTGGGGGCAACTTCAGTTTTTATACATAACATAAAGAAGCTTCTTTACAGTATTTGGAATAAACTGAGCATCTGGGCCAAGTAAGCAATAGAGTTGTTTCTTGGTTGTTGGGGAGGGGTGGGGAAATTTGTCAGTCCCTGTGTCCTGTCCCTTTTCCCTCAGTAATATGCAGGATTCACCTGGAAGGCTGTATTCCTCAGACACTTTGGTGTGTTAGAAAAGACTAGCAATTGGCTGTTGTTTGCATAGATGATTACATTAGTTGATTCCTGGAATATATAGCACTAGAGAGATGCTGAGGGGTCTTTTAGTTCATTGCCCTGTACCCCTTGCTGCACATTTGGGGTAAATAAAGAGAATTGTTCCATGCTACTAAGGGAACTGGTGATGCAGTCAGCCTCAGAACCCAGGCCTTCTGACATACATACATAGATATTGACATACTGGCTTTGCTTGGATAGCAGCTTTCAACTGCTCCTATTAAGATACGTTATAGATATTCCTCCCACCCCCCACCCAGCCCTCTTATGAGTTTAACTGCCCCAGAGCTAGATGACTTCTTCGAATCCTTCCAGAATGTAAGTAAATGATGCCCTCTTAGATATTTAGCAAAGTCACTCTGAGCTGCTTGCAAGGTAAGAGTCCTGGGGTCAGGGGAGGAGGGTTACTGGTGACCTCCAAAGAATACAGGATGGGCCAGAGGTCGTGGTGGAGAGAGAGAGGAAGTTATCTGTGGCTCCGGAACCTGGTGGGGAATCTGAGCAGAACTGGATGATTTGGAGGGGATTTTTTTCAATGCAGCAAGGTTCTTTTTCTAATGCATGCAGGAGAAAAATAAGATGCAGCCAGGAATATTCAGGTTCTCATCCTCTGAGAGCTTGACTCCTGGGGAAGGTGAACATGGATACAATATATCTGTTGTTCAGTGTTCAAAGAAATCAGCTGGAAGGAGGGGATAGTTACTCCCAACCAAAGGAAACAGGGAAGGCTTCCTGGAAGCACCTGTCTGCATCTTCCCCCACCCATCCCACGCAATGCCTCACCTTTGCTCTGTCCAGGTGTGTGATGGCAAATTTAAAAATTTATGAGTGGGTCACTGAGAAGGTTGGGAGATAAAAGCCAAGTGAGCTCAGCCTGTCCATGTGTACTTTGCACTTTTCCCATTTCCCTTGATATCAGGCACTGTCACTGAACTTAATTCATAGTGCAGCTATCACTGAGCTGCTGTGACAATGGCTGCTTCTGCCCCGGAGCCCACCGCAGGCTTGGAGCTAAAGGCCCCAGCTACTGGAGGTCTTAGCAGTGACCCTGTCCCCCCAGCTACCATGTCCACGCAGAGACTTCGGAATGAGGACTACCATGACTACAGCTCCACGGACGTGAGCCCAGAGGAGAGCCCATCTGAAGGCCTAAACAATTTCTCTTCCCAGGGCTCCTACCAGCGATTTGGGGAAAGCAACAGCACAACGTAAGTAGGTGTTTCCTCTTCTGTCCTGGGTGTGATTCATGTTTTTACATTCTGTGTTGGTAACAGAGTCTCCCTTGGAGGCATTCTTGCTCCCCCATTTTATCCATTCCCCATTTTACAGATGGAAGGAAGATATAAAGAGATTGGGTGAGTAACAGCTCTAAGATTTGAGTTCCTTGCTGACCACTCTTTCCATCTGCATCTGTTTTATATTCTTTGCTCCTTTCAGCTGTGTTGGTCCCAGAAGGCTGGTGCTGAACTTAAGAGAAACTTCTAGAGAGACCATTCTCTTAATTCAGAACCATGGGTCATCTGTGCTAGAACCTCAAATACTTCTAGGCTCAATTGGAAGCTTCATTTGCAGAGTCTCGCCCAAACTTCTGCCCCATCACCAAACAGTCAGTTCATTTGGCTGCAGAAATGGTAAGAGGGAGGAAGGAATAATTTCTCCTGCCCTTAAAAACTTTGAGGTTGAGGAGCGCCTGGGTGGCTCAGTCAGTTAAGCCTTGAGCTCTTGATTTTGGCTCCAGGTCAGGATCTCAGGGTTGTGAGATCGAGTCTCACATTGGGCTCCACACTGGTCGTGGAGCCTACTTATGATTCTCTCTTTTCCTCTCCCTCTCCCCTCCCCACTCTCTCTCTTTCCTCCCTATCTCTTAAAAAAAAAAAAAAAAATCAAGGGGTTGAGAAAAAGAGGTCTGCCTAGCATTGTTTAGGCATATTAGCTCTCGCGAATCTTTCTTATCTCTAGAAACTGAATTCCATCCATGACTCATCTGGGTGGAGTTTGGCCCTCTCTGGGCCTTAGTTTCCCCAAATGTAAGAGAAAATTGAGGACCGCACTGTGAAGCTGCGCTGACTGCTATTCACCCACTTGAATTAGAAGATTCAGAGGAGGGTTTTCTACCCCACTGAGTTCTCTAACTCAATCCTGAATCAACAGACCCCTGATATTTTCTCTAGATCCCAACATTCCACCTTTTTTGGCTCTTCTGTTTATTCCTCAAGCTTAGCTATTATCCTTTCTGTGTTCCTTTGTGGGATGGATGTGACTTATCAAGGGAATCCTTTATGTACTAGACTTAAAATGCTGTCGGGAGTGACTGCCCAAGCCAACTATCAAAGATTCTCTTGGAGGTCATTACTGGTGAAGCTCACTCTGGCTACAGTGTCTCCTGGAGCAGGGCATTTTCTCTTGTAAACAGGGATAGACTGAGAGGATGTGGTCTGTCCACATTAGCACTAGCTGATTTCTGCTCCTAAAGATACAGTCTCTATAGTTTATTTCTCATGTGGCATGCATTTGTGGATTCCCCCATTTGCTTGCAGTGTTGGCTGATGGGAAAGGTTGCATAGAAAACAACTGGAAGCAGTGAGGACCATCTTTCCCCTGTTTTCTTAACCTGTCCACTCAGTTGGCTTCCTCCAAGCAGGAGATGCAGCCAGTAGCGTGTGAGAGCTTCCCTTCAGAAGTCATACTCATTGTGAAATGCTTCTTCCAACTTTCTCTCTCTATAGTTTTCCTTCCAGTATTTGCTCCTTCTTGTTCTCACCCATCAGCTTGTCTGTGCAATGCTTGCCATATGGTGTCTAGATTTTCATTTTTAAAGGGATTTCTCTAAAGTTCAGAACCAACCACTAGCAACTTCAGGGTGGTAGTTCACAGGTTTTGTGTGTATTGAAAGTAATGTGTGCCTGTTAACTATCCTGATTACCTTTTTTTTCACATTGGGTTATGACTAGTGGTCAAACTAAAATTATTTCTCCTTGCTTGTTAGAAATTGAGAAAATCAGGAGATACCTTCCTTGGGCTTGTATTGGCATGTTTTCCAGGGTATGATTTGTTGTGAGGGCCCATCCTGCCCTGATACTGTGATATATGGAAAGGAAAGTCCATCTGTAAATGATGTTAGGTATCGCAAGTGACCCAGGGAAAGTACTCCCTTGGACATGAAGAGTTGGCTGAGTGCTTGCCTGGGGCCCAGATCCACGTAAGCATTTATGTGTAGGAAACGTGCCAGGTATGCTTAAGGTGATCGCAAATCTCTGATACGGCAGAGTATCAGAGACAAGTTTTTGAGCTGGATTCCTTGTCTCCCGTGCCTTGCCCCACCCTGTTATCTAGTTTGCCAAGGAGCAGAGAACGCAGAACAAAGTACAAGGAACAAAATACAAGGAATAAAGTACATGCATGCATCTAACTGGCTCTTCTGAAGGTTAGGGGTTCAGTGGAAATCCCTAACCAGGGGCGCACATAGGATGCCCAGACACTTGCATCCTGGTACGTTTGTGAGGTTATTTCCCAACACTTGATGGTGTCCAGCTATCGACGGCCTTGACAACAGCCTCATTTTATTCTATTGGGAAGTTCTTCTTCTTGTTGCCATATCGGTCACATTATAGCAGCTGTTGGTTGAGCTTTGGTTCTTTTTCCCCAGGCTGGCAGGCTGAGAAACCAGTTGACCAAAACTGCTTCATCTATCTAGGGCAGCCATTTGCAAAGTGCGGTCTGCAGACCCTGTGGGGGACCATTTCAAGAAGTCTGTGAAATTGAAACTGTTTTCACAATAACGCTGAGATGTTATTTATCTTTTCACTGTGTTGGCGCTTACATGGATGATTCAGCAGCAGTGGTGGGTAAAATTGCTGATACATTAGCATAAACCAGGGCCGTGCCACCAATTTCTGCTAGTCATCGTATTTTCTTGCTGACACACACAAACAAAGAATAAGCCATTGTCACTTACGCAGGTCCTTGATGAAGTGGTCAAATTACTCATTTTATTATTTAACCCTTCAGTACAGGGTTTTAAATAATCTGCCTGGCCAAATAGGAAGTAGACATGAAATACTTCTACTGTGTACCAAATATGATACTAGTCTCAAGGACAAGACCTTGAGTGATTATTGGAATTGTAAACTGAACTAGCTGCTTTTTGTTTTGTTTCTTTTCTTTCATAGAACACTGTTTTTGCTAGGAAGAACTAACAAACTGTAGGTTATTCAGACCTGAGTATTTGACAGTACTGAATACTTCATTTCTTGAAAATGAAAGGAATGAGACCATCACCTCAAGAAAAATAACCAGTGGTATTTGTTGCCCACAATAAAATTTGAGCTTTCAAGCAAAACTAGAAAAAAAAAAAAACAACTAATATCCAACACTGAACTTGACAGCTTCCCTCTACTTAGAGACTTCTGATAAGATCGGTGATATTAATAAATGTGATTTTTTTCAGATATTGTATAATGAAATGTGCCAGCATTTGAAAGATTGGTATCTTCCAAATGGCCAGTGATACTAGAAAATTGTGCATGAGTTTAAGATCCATTTGAAGGGCAAGATCACCATTAGTGGTTTTTTTTTAACTTTATTTTATTTTTTCAGTGTTCCAAGATCCATTGTTTATGCATCACACCCAGTGCTCCATGCAATACGTGCCCTCCTTCACACCCACCACCAGGCTCACCCAGCCGCTCAACCCCCTCCCCTCCAAAACCCTCAGTTTGTTTCTCAGAGTCCACAGTTTCTCGTGGTTCATCTCCCCCTCTGATTTCCCCCAACTCCCTTCTCTCCTTCTCCGTGTCCTCCGTGTTATTCCTTATGTTCCACAAGTAAGTGAAACCATATGATAATTGACTCTCTCTGACTGACTTATTTCACTCACCAGTAGGTTTTAATATGATAGGATATCAAAAAGTTAAGAATCCTCATTATAACTAACTTCCTAAGAAATAACAACCATGTGTCGAATTTCGGGGTAGTATCAAAGGAAAATTACCACAGTTATCTAAAGAGACTATTAAAACACATTCCAACTGCATGTCTGTATGAGGACAGATTTTCTTTATGTACTTCAACCAAAACAACATAACAACAGATTGAGTGGAGAAGTAGATAATCCAGCTGTCAAACAAGACATTGAAGAGTTTTGCAGAAAAAGTAAATTAGTGCCATTTTTTATTTTGGAAAATAGAATTACTTTTCATTAAAAATTTGTTATTCTAAAAAATAATAACAGTTTAAGGGGTGCCTGGGTGGCTCAGTCAGTTAAGTGTCTGCCTTTGGCTTGGTTTGTGATTGCAGGGTCCTGGAATCAAGCCTTGCATCGGACTGCCTGCTCAGCCTTGAGCCTACTTCTTCCTCTCCCTCTGCCTCTGCCCCTAACCACCTTGTGCTCTTTTGCTTGCTCTCTCTCACTCTTACAAATAAATGGATAAAAATCTTAAAAAAAAATGATAACAGTTTAGAAAAATCTGTTATTTATATTTATGGATCGATAAACCATTGGCCACACTAATCCAAAAGAAAAGAGAGAAAGCCCAAATTAATAAAATTATGAATGAAAAGGGAGAGATCACAACTAACACCAAGGAAGTGGAAACAATCATCACAAGTTATTATCAACAGTTATATGCCAATAAGCTAAGCAACCTAGATGAAATGGATGCATTCCTGGAAAACTATAAAATCCCAAAATTGAACCAGGAAGAAATCGACAACCTAAATAGACCGATATCTAGTAACGAGATTGAAGCAGTGATCAAAAACCTCCCAAAAAACAAGAGCCCAGGACCTGATGGATTCCCTGGGGAATTCTACCAAACTTTCAAAGAAGAAATAACACCTATTCTCCTGAAGCTATTTCAAAAAATTGAAGCAGAAGGAAAACTTCCAGTCTCTTTCTATGAAGCCAGCATTACCCTGATCCCCAAACCAGGCAAAGACCCTACCAAAAAGGAGAATTTCAGACCAATATCACTGATGAATATGGATGCTAAGATTCTCAACAAGATCCTAGCAAACAGGATCCAACAGCACATTAAAAAGATTATGTGGTTTTAAAATTTTAATTAATAATTTTTTGATTTCTCAACTTTTACTTGTAGTATATATCACCAGACATAACTCATAAAAGGAAAAGCTGTTTGATATCCTCAATAATTTATAAGTGTATAAAGGGCTCCTGAGGAAAAAAAAAAGTGTAAAAACTACTGATTTAGAACTTAAACAGAACTACAGAGATTTTCAGGGTTCACTCCTTATATCCCCCGTAGTTAAGACTTTGCAGTCCATGGAGTTAATTTTGTGATACTCTGTGGCTTGGGGTGATCCAAGCTTGGGGCCATTGATGGAAAAGAATTATGTTGGCCAGTTGCCTAGAATCCTGGTGTTTTTGAGCTGAAGAGACGTTGGCAAGTAAGCTGTCCTATCCAGTCCCCTCACTCTATTAATTAGACAAAGTTCCAGCTGAGGGAAGGGAATTGTCATATGAAGTTAACTGTCAGAGCCAGGACTAAAAGGGGACCTGATCCCCTACAAAACCCGGCTCAGACATTTTAGGGAGGCCTCTGGTAAGCAGGTGAGTTTTGCTACAATGCTTACCTTTGCCTGGAGTGGATTAAACATTTGCTAAGATAGACATTTGTGTGGTTCATCATTCTGCCTGTAATCTCTTGGTCAGTGGCTGCTGATAATGAAGGAGTCACCTCACCCTTCTACCCTTGCTGTCCTTAAGCTGTTTCCTCAGGAGAGTCCAGGAGAGTGCTCAGCCTGTTCTCATTCAGATTCAAAGGCATTTTCTTGATCTTTCCTGAAAAACTTTGGGACAGTAGGAAGGTCAAGAAGTTTTCTTCCTGGAGGTAGGAGAAAGGTTACTAAAAGTAAAATTCCATTTCAGAGAGTAGATAGGTCATATTTATTATGGTCTTTATTAGTTAACACATGTTATTTGCTTTCAGTTTCTACTGAATTGCAGATGTGAAGAAATACATGGAAGCATCATTTAGGAGGGATTAGGGTGTTTGTGCAAAAAAATTTCCAGACAGTGCCAGTGACCAAATCTTGAGTGAGTCTGTGATTGAGGGCAAAGTGATGGTGTATTTGACCTGTTTTTTATCCTGGAGGCAACAGGATAGAAAGTCCGCACAGGGGAGCACTTCTCTGGGGTCAGTCCTTTGAGCAGTTCTCATTCTCTACAGATTGATCACCATCACCCCACCCAGGTGGCCACAAAACAACATACTCCTTTGCATTGGTGCCCCGAGTCTCTCTCTGGGCTTGTATTCCCAGACCTTTCTTCCTCATGGGCACACTGGCAAGCTCTGCCTGTCCTGCTGGGCTCGGCTCGGGTCTCCCCTCTGTGAACCCTCAACTGCCTCCCCTCCCTGAGCACTGTTCCTGGGCACTTCTCAAGAAGTCAGCTTTCTGTCTGGGTGGTTATTAATGTATCTGACTTATTTTCCTTGAGACATTATTGATTTCTAGAGACCAAGGTCCATATCTGATTCTTACTTACTTCTACCACTATATTAACACAATGTTTTACATATAACAGGTAGTATTTGCTGAGTGAAAAAATGAATGAGGATACATGAGAGGCTTAATAATTACAGCTTGAGGTAGACAGTCTGTATAACAGGTGAGGGGAAAATCTGTCCTCAAGGCAAAAGGATAAATGAGGTGGCATTTGAAGAGCACTTCTCCAGTCCTAGGACTGTGGCAATACAAAGTACACCAGGGACTTGCCAATTATGGTATATTCCTTTTGATCTGTGTACTTTGCATAACATTTTCTGTTATGGATTCTGGGCTCCTATTTTTTATTTCCCTCATCCTTCTCTCACACCAGTGTCTGTCCTTCACACTTATGCTTGTCATCCTCTGTTGCAGTGTTGAATCTGAGTCTTTACAATGGACAACTCTGGTGAAATGTAGGCCAGGGCTGCTAGGAAAGGATACAGTGCCTACAGAGAGCCCTGGTGTCCCTCTGGTCTAATCTCCAAGAGAGCTGGGGTTCTTGGAGATGCCACAGGGAACAGAGCTTACAGCACAGAGGCCAGGAGAGGACTCGGGGGTCAGACTGTCTGGGTTTGAATCCTGGCTAAACTCTTCACTAGGTGTGTGGTCTTGAGCAAGTATCTTCCTCATCCATAAAATAAAGTTAATACAGATCTCATAGGGTTGTTGTGGAAATTGAATGAGAAAATGCATGAAAGCACTTAGTACGTGCTACATGATTAATAAGTGTTAGCTATCATTAATGTTAACATGCCCTCGTCTACTTTCTTCCCACTTCAGATGGTTCCAGACTTTGATCCACCTGTTAAAAGGCAACATTGGCACTGGACTCCTGGGACTGCCTCTGGCCGTAAAAAATGCTGGCATCTTGGTAAGGGTCTGTATTGGCGAAGGGAAGTATCATGACAAATTTTAGGAGGTGGTGTGTGTTTTTTTAAATCTTTCATTTAAAACATTTTAAAATGGAAACCTTTTTAATTCAGCTGAAGAGAGCAAAATTCAGGTGTTCATTCACTTAAACATATTTATTAAATAGTTATTGAATATGTTTCTGTGTGTTAGATGTCGTTTTAGGCTCTGAATATTATTGGTGAATAAAAAAGAGAAAGATTCTCGCCCTCATGGAGCTTACTCTGTGGTGAGGAGGATGTACTTAAAATGTCTCAGAGTTTCTATCAATAATATTAACTAATGAATTAGTAATAGAAGTTTGTTAGTTTTCTACATATTCCTTCCACACCCCACCCCTAGGAGGCTAACTCTGAGAATTTTACTTTTTCTTTTATGATTCATCCCCTATAGACTATAATCTAAAGCCATTTGGCTTCTCTTAGAGCTGGAGATAGCTCAGAGATGTGGAGGCATTGCTGTAATGAGAACTTGCCTCGTCCCTCCATCCCTCACATCTCTTCTTCCCAGACCACAGGAGCCTTCTGTTTGGCTGATTTATAGCTGTCTTGGAACAGCCTTATCTTGTGCCATTCTTCTCCATGAGGTTAACTCTTTCACAGGCAGGCTAAGGTTCCAATGGTGCCCTTCTTGCCAAGCTAATCTCCATGATCACATTTCTCTCTCTAATGTGGTGCCAGAAGTTCTGTCACTGGAGGGTACCTTAGTAGTGTTTTGATCATTTCCAAATCCGGCCTCCACTGGGCTCACTCCTAATTCTACCTGCTCGTCTCTCTCTTTCTTATCCACAACACCGGTCTCCAGATGGGTCCCCTCAGCCTGCTGGTGATAGGCCTCGTAGCTGTGCACTGCATGGGTATCCTGGTGAAATGTGCTCACCACTTCTGCCGCAGGTGAGAGCCCCCTGAGCTGCCCAGTTGCCCTTTTGGGTTCTGTTACCATCACTGAAAGAGAGGACTAACCCAGACCACTCTAAATTGTTTTGTGCTAGCCAAACGAAGGTGGCTGCTAGTTATGGCAGCATTCCCTTTCCCTGGCTATTTCTGTGTTCTTTTTCAGTCTGTTGTCATCTGTCGTATTTACTTATGTCCAGTGGACAGAGACCACATTCTCCTTCCGTGCACTGTGTAGTATTTACCTCACTGAAATGATTCTACCAGATGGTCGTTAATTATAAGAAACTAACTGGCCTGTTGACTTCACATTTTCTGGTCCTTGAAAGCATTAGATATAGGACTCAGTGGTTCTCCAGGATGACAGGTGGGGTACTGGTCCAGGTCTCGATGATCTACCTTTTTCTGTCGCTTATTGTCAAACCTACACATTCTGCCCTTCCTCTCCCCAACCCCAGACTGAACAAGCCTTTTGTGGACTATGGGGATACAGTGATGTACGGACTGGAATCCAGCCCCAGCTCCTGGCTCCGGAACCATGCACACTGGGGAAGGTAACCAGTTTTCTCTTTTGTTGCTGCTGTGAACTCCCAGAGCGGAGGCCTCCAGACAGGAAGGTGAGATGTGGCAGATAGTGTGAGCAGTGGAAAGAGTATTGGGCCTGTGGGTTTAGCTTCTAGCTCAGATCTGCCAACAGTCATCTGGTGACCTTGGCTCTGTGATCCCTATCTTCTCTGATCTCAGTTTCCTCATTGGTAAACTGGCCATTCCAGCTTGGCAGTCCATGACCAGTGATTATTTTTTAATTTACTCATTTGTTCAGTAAAGATATTTAAGCACTGTCTTATAAGTGTTGCAGAACAATTCTAGGTATTGGGCAAATTATGTGGTCCTGGCCCTCTAGGGTCTTGTAGTCTCTGTAAGGAGAAGGATATGTGGGAAGCTTGAGGACAAGAGATCAAGAATAGTCTAGAGCAGTGGAGGGAGTATCATGAGCTATAAGTGTATCCTGGGAGCTCAGATAGGGAGGAGATTTAAGGAATGTTGCCTGTCCCAGATGAGAAGTGCTCAGGATGGGTGCTTTAAGGGCAGGACACTGGGCAGGAGAAGGAAGGCTTCAAGGAAGAGATGAGCTGAGCTAGAACCAATGATTTATTGGGGAAAGACACATTTCAAGAGGAGGGGGAGGGTTGGAAATTTCTCCTTATGGCAACTTTTTGTATGCCTAGAGGGAAATATTCTAATTTCTGTTTCCTGTTTGAAGAAATGATATGTGTATAGCTAGAGAATTGATATCATCAGGGGCCAAATCCTTTTCTTTTAAAATGTATTTATTTATTTGAGAGAGAGGTAGAAAGAGAGTGCACTTGTGTGCATGAGGGTGGGCAGAGGGAGAGAAAGGATCTTAAGGAGACTCCCTGCTGAGCACAGAGCCCATTGCAGGGCTCCATCTTATGACCCTGAGATCATGACATGAGCCGAAATCAAGAGTCAGATGCTAACCGACTGAGCCACCCAGGTACCCCTCTATTCTTTTTAAATTGAACTACATGAAAGCTCTGTTCTCTAGGAAAATTCCTTCTTGTGGTCATTGGGAGGCTTTTATAGTTCACACTATAAACCTGTGATGCAGGTTTACTTTGTGATTCTTTTAGCAGGATCATTCCCTGGGACTGGGAGAAGCCATAGTGCCAAGTGGCCACCATTGGTTGGCTGGTCGGTTGTTGACTGAGTGTTTCTTCCCTCCCTCCCTCCTTTCCATCATTTTTCTCTTTTCTCCTATCTTCCCCTCTGTTTTTCTCTCTTTCTCCCCAACTCTCACCTCTCTTTCCCCCTCGTTTTCCTTCCTTCCTTATTCCCTTACTTCCTTTCTTTAATGAAGTTAATTTGTGTTCGTGGTAAAAAAAATTTTTTTTGAGCGAGATAAGCATTCATAAAGTGAAAAATGAAAGTATAGGCTGGTCATGGTTAAATGGGTATACTTTTGGAATTTTCTGTATGTATACAAACATACACATGTTCTTAACGTCTTTTTACACAAATTTTTGCATACTATTTGGAAATTTTTTTTTCTATTAAAAGCCCTAGACATATCTGTATCAGCACATATAGGTTTAATATATCCTTTTTCCCTGCTGTGTACTACTACTCCATTTAAGAAGGGTCTGTCATTTAATCATTTTCATTTTGATGACCCTTCAGGTTGTCACCAGCTATTGTTGTAACAGTGCTTCCACCAGCGGTCTGTTCTGGTACATCTCTTCCTGTGTACTTATGTGACAGTAGGTTGGTTCTTGGATCCAAGTTATAAAAAGAGATCATGAAGGGGTCTACTTCCTAGGCTTTATGCTGAGGGCTCCTGTAGCTTTAGAACAAACAGTGTGAAGTGGCATAGGCCTGCCGTGGGGAGGGAGAAGTCAAGTGACTGGTCTATGGTCCTGGTGTATGTGCTCCACTCTGGCCATTCTGATCTCGGGATTGCCTGACCCCATGCAGCATTCTACACAACACACAGCAAAGGGACCTCAGTCACCACACAGATAGGACCTTCTTCACCTTCCTCCAGAGCTCCAGACTGGTGGCAGCTAGCACAATTTCTCCTTTTATCAGGGCACACTCATCCTTCTCACCTGGTGGGAAGTGTCTGTGATGACCTGGGAAAAAGCACTGTTCAAACACCTATCTCTCTGGGGATCTTGCTTTTAATCCTCCTGATCTTTGTATTCTTCCCTTCCCCATCTGCAGGCGCGTTGTGGACTTCTTCCTGATTGTCACGCAGCTGGGATTCTGCTGTGTCTACTTTGTCTTTCTGGCTGACAACTTTAAACAGGTAGGGCTCTGGTTTAAAGAAAAAAAAAAAGTGACAAGAGATGAGTGGCGTTTTAGTTTAGGATTCATCGTAAGCCAGTTTTGGTCAACAAAAGAATTAAGATTTTAACATTTTACATGGAATAGCGTCTTTTGTTTAATTTCATCTAAAGACCTAGGGCACTGAGAAACTTCAGGATACCTTGTCTGTCCTCCTGTCTTCAGGTAAGATATGATCAAACCAGCTGAGACAGTTGGGTTGCTGATGACAACTGTGAAGATCTTGGAAGATGGTTCTGTAGGGCCTTGTTCACATAAGGAGCCTTCAATTAGGAGCCTCTTTGGGTGGGAGGTCCACTGGCCTTTGCCATTTAAGAGGCCTTTTCTGATGCATTTCTCTCCCTCAATTTAGGTGATAGAAGCAGCCAATGGGACCACCAACAACTGCCATAACAATGAGACAGTAATTCTGACGCCCACCATGGACTCGCGACTCTACATGCTCACCTTCTTGCCCTTCTTGGTGCTGCTGGTTTTTGTCAGGAACCTCCGAGCCCTGTCCATCTTCTCTCTGTTGGCCAATATCACCATGCTGGTTAGCCTGGTTATGCTCTACCAGTTCATTGTCCAGGTAAGAGAGCCAAGGCTCTCCCTCTGCCTATTATATGATCAAAGAAGCAAACAAAACAAGTAAATGGAACATAAATAAGGGTATGTTATTTATGTATGGTATATTTAGATTAGGAGTTCTCAACTTTGGCACTAGTGACATTTTGGGTGAGATAGTTTTTTGTCACGGAGGGGGCTATGCTGTGCAACACGGGATGTTTAGTAGCATTCCTGGTTTCTACCTACTAGGTGCCAGTAGCAGCTGTGCCCAACTTATGACAAACAAAAATGTCCCCAGACACTGAAAAATGTGCTGGGGGGGTGGGGACAGTGGTATGTGTGTGTGTGCAAAATCATCCCCATTGAGATCACTGGCTTAGACTTTTTTCCAAATAGGTAGTTAATACATGAATCATTGTATAATGGGAAAATAGAAAAATAGTAAGGTGAAAGCAAGAATCGACTTTTCTAACTTAATATTTAGATAAAATAATTGCTTACCACTCCTGTTATTTATTTATTCATCAAAATTATAAATCCAGTGATTATCCGCTCCCCCTTACATAGCCCAGGTGGGCAGGTGTGTAGGTAGTACAAGAGAGGACATCTCTATGTTGATGGGTAGAAGACCAGGCTGAGAAAAATGTGCCCTCAAACACTGTGGCTCTTTATGGATGAGACAGTGCATTTTGCCAAGACTGGAGAAAAGGAAAAGAGTGAGAGCCAGTGAATAAAAGCATAACTTTAAAAAAGGTATTACAAGTTGGTGCAGCCACTTTGGAGAACAGTGTGGAGATTCCTCAAGAAATTAAAAATGGAGCTTCCCTATGACCCTGCAATTGCACTACTGGGTATTTACCCCAAAGATACAGATGTAGTGAAAACAAGGGCCATCTGTACCCCAATGTTTATAGCAGCAATGGCCACGGTCACCAAACTGTGGAAAGAACCAAGATGCCCTTCAACGGACGAATGGATAAGGAAGATGTGGTCCATATACACTATGGAGTATTATGCCTCCATCAGAAAGGATGAATACCCAACTTTCGTAGCAACATGGACGGGACTGGAAGAGATTATGCTGAGTGAAATAAGTCAAGCAGAGAGAGTCAATTATCATATGGTTTCACTTATTTGTGGAGCATAACAAATAGCATGGAGGACATAGGGAGATGGAGAGGAGAAGGGAGTTGAGGGAAATTGGAAGGGGAGGTGAACCATGAGAGACTATGGACTCTGAAAAACAATCTGAGGGTTTTGAAGAGGCAGGGGGTGAGAGGTTGGGGGAACCAGATGGTGAGTATTGGAGAGGGCATGATTGCATGGAGCACTGGGTGTGGTGCAAAAACAATGAATACTGTTACGCTGAAAATAAATTTAAAAAAATTAAAAAAAAAAAAAGGTATTGATATTTAATTCCCTAAAGAACTCATCAGTACAGGGGCGCCTGGGTGGCTCAGTGGATTAAGCCTCTGCCTTCAGCTCAGGTCATGATCTCAGGGTCCTGGGATCAAGCCCTGCATCAGGCTCTCTGCTCAGCAGGGAGCCTGCTTCCTCCTCTCTCTCTGCCTGC